AAATCAGAGAAATGGTAATTAGAGTCAACAAAACCATTACAAAAGTGATAACTGCATGACTGATGGGAACACATAAGTTGTCATTACTTTCTAAGAACAGCTCATTCTTGGAGATTGCGCTCAAATTCTGGGATTCAATGAAATCGAGATCATTGGGAACCACGACTCGAATACCCCGAAGAAGTCTAATCGGTTCGACACTACTTTCGTTGAGTTTGTGATCATTCCTATTGAGTGTTCTCTTGGCTCTGGATTTGACGATCTCTTCGTTCTTCTCGCTCTGACTTCTGAAGAGCACTTCCTCGACGTCCGGACATCCGTTTCTGCACTCGTATTTGCAGATTTCGATATTGCACTCAAAGTAAACCTCCATTTTCTCGGGGAATCGGAAGGCCTGCATATATGAGAATGTGGTGACAGTGGAGTCGTCGACATTGCGCTGCTTTTGCCAGTTTCCCAGAAGTTTGCGTTTGAGGACACATCCATTTTCATCTGTCAAATGCACAGAATTCTTGACATCTCCGTCGTGTGCGATACAGTCTTTGATGCGAACATCGAAATTGTTGGCATCGGATCCGATGAGCGAAACCGAAAGCGTTAAATCGTCGCCAATTCGGACGAACCCCTGAACGGGTGCCGCTTTGAGGCCGTGTCCGTACTGCACGTCCATCACTGTCTCCACTGAATCGCCTCTATATGTGATGGTCTGTGAGTCGTGTACCTCAACGTTGACTGAAGTCTGGACAGTCTTATCAAACACTCCACTCCAGGCACACCTCAAGTGTCGAACCGAATCCCAAATCTCTTGAAAGATGGGCTCGTTTTGAAAAATGAGTGTATTTTCTAAAATTGTTTCGCCTTTTGTTGAATATTCGTCTATAAGTGTAGTTCCGCATCGATTCATCTCTAGTGTCAACTCAAACATCATTTGTCCGGATCGGTGCTCAACGAAATGACACGACATGTCATTGTAATAGTCTTTAGCATATATGATGCCATCAAATGGTCGGTCATAAGTGATCCGCACATGAATGGCATCTTTAGAGCATTTGGCTTCAATTGTTTGGATTTTAGGTTTTGCCAAAACTGGTTGTTGTGGATAGTAGTCCACTTGTTCCCGGCTCTTTTCTCGGTTGCTGTTCAGTTCTTGTCTATCATTATCACTAAATTGTTGTCCAGTTATAGTCCATTGTTTGTCCCTATTATGAAATGCGGGCGCATTTATAACAAACATAGCGCTTGGAGTGGTTTCCTCCGGTATTTCAATCGGTTCTGCTTTGATGGGCGACTGATGTCCACCAGAATTCTCATCATTTCCATGATTTTTATCAAAACTTTTCGATTGCAGTTCATATGGGATGACTCCCGGTTGGCGTTCCTCTAAGGGAATGACATTCTTTTTGTTGATGTCGTGCTTTAGGAACAGTTGACTCCAGAAGTGTTCTCTCAATCGTTGCGATTCATTATTATCTGGTCTGACTTGGCCACCTGGTAAAACTAGCGGTGGTCTTAATATCCTTAAAGGTAAAACATACAGAGAGAGTAACGAGAAGTCAACTCCAAGTCTAGCGCCTATACTTACCAGAGATTTCAATTTCTTTACAAATAAAATAATTTTTTAACTCAATACTAATGAATGAGAAATAAAATACTTGATCTCAATATCGATGTCTTTTGAGCCCTGATTGCTAAGAGAAGTACCGATGCTTTCAAAAGCGCGTTGAAATTTGGTTGAATAATGAGAATTATGAGTTCCACTCAAATAAGAGAGACCATCCTCTGAAGAACTCACATTCAATATCTACAGTATTAACACATTTTTAAATATTCATTAATTAATGCCTACTGATAATCAATTTTCATATATTATACTAATTTATTAATTAAATGATACTCACATAAAAAATACTTATCAAAAAGAAAGTTAACATTATTTACAAAAGGATATTCAATAAGTGTACAAATCAGTGTGTCTCTTATTAAAGTGAAATCACAAATAAAAAGATTTAATTGTTTGCATCTCTTTTAAAATATGCTGATAAGTGATCAAAAAAGACTGAACCGGTGGACCATTTTGATCGCCACCAGAATTATAGGAATTTCCATTTTGTATGTCTCTCTCATTGCTCTTCAGTTGAGGTTCAGATCGCGGATATGAATGGTCTCTAAAGTTAAAGAAATAAAATAAAATAATTGTTTGACTCAATAATAATCGATGAGAAATCAAATACTTGATCTCAATGTCGATGTCTTTTGAGCCCTGATTGCTAAGAGAAGAACCGATGCTTTCAAAAGCGCGTTGAAATTTGGTTGAATAATGAGAATTATGAGTTCCACTCAAATAAGAGAGACCAACACTACTTCCATCCTCTGAAGAACTCACATTCAATATCTACAGTATTAACACATTTTTAAATATTAATTAATTAATGCCTACTGATAATCAATTTTCATATATTATACTAATTTATTAATTAAATGATACTCACATAAAAAATACTTATCAAAAAGAAAGTGAACATTATTTACAAAAGGATATTCAATAAGTGTACAAATCAGTGTGTCTCTTATTAAAGTGAAATCACAAATAAAAAGATTTAATTGTTTGCATCTCTTTTAAAATATGCTGATAAGTGATCAAAAAGAGAGTGACTTTAAAATGAAATCATAGACTATTGATCTCATCATTAAATTGGCAACAATTGGACAATAAGTTTGATGTTTATTAAAAGTATGCAAAGAGTGACCCAAATATAAAAAGTAAATCAATTTTTATTTACAAATACATCAAAAGGCATTTTTATGTGCTACTATATTTTAGAAATAGATTTACTAATTGTTTGAGAAAAAATTATTTGTTTAACAAGACATCAAATACAATGCAATGAAAAAAGCAAACTCTTTTCATGACGTGTGGGTGTCTTTGATTTATTGCAAATACTCTTCACTTTTACAGATCAATGATAACTAATGTAAAGTTCGGCGACTTATGTCATATGAAATAATGAAACGTCAAAAATCTATAGAAACCTTTCGAGTTATTTTCTATACTTAAATATATTTACTAAACTTTCATTTGACACGACTATTAATAAAATTATTTTGTGCCTAATTTTATAAGTTTCAAATATGTGTCAAAAGATGCTTTTCATTTGTTTCTAAAAATATTAAAGTATATACAAGTTATTGTTATACAAACTTATAGATTAGATCTACTTATTTATCAAAAGTTTGTCAAAACAATAATCGGTACACAAATAACTTGTTCACTTTTTTAAGTAATGAAATAAAAATTTTAACTCAAACTCAGCTCTTATTAGTAATTTATTTTTATACAGAAATTGCAATAAATACGAGAGAATGGAAGCGATTGTGATTAATACAAGAAGTCTTTGTTGTCTTGACTGCGGGGCTCTTTAATTTTGTTTAGGTTTTTAGTGACCAAATCGTGTCAATTCACGTAATAGTTGCGAATGTCAGTCAATGTGAGGCACAGATTCAAGTGAAACCTTTGGTCGCATTCCTTGACAGCGATCCGGAAGTCCTGATTGTGTGGATATTTGGCCACTTTTGCGATCAGATCGCCTCTCGACTCGAAATAGTTCTCGATTTTGTCGAATTTGTTGAGAACCTCTCCCTCGACACCAGTGATGGCCTCAATGGTCTCCTGTTGGATCTCAACGCCAAAATTGTTTCCGTCTTCTATTTTGGGAACCATTAAACTGATGGCCAGTTTCAGAAGCAGTATGTCTTCACTCAATTCAATCATTCGTGGCTTCAATACAGCGAGCATTTCAATGAACGTCTCATTGCATTCGACCGCTCCGTTCGGGAAGAGAAAGGGTTTGGCGATAATGATCT